AGCACGTGTGATCCCTGTAATCCTATAAATATGCGCTAAACCTGGCCCCCCCAGCTTCTAATGTTCTGCAGTTTCCAACGCCCCACAGCTCTAGAGGAGCAACATACTAGGAAAACATTTATAGTTCATTGTCACTGCTCAATCATTTGCCAGAAGAAAAGATTTATACTTGGCTAATATGGTTTTATAATGATTTATACTTGGCTAATATGGTTTTATAATAGCTCCCCATGATCTCTTCACAATTATCAGCTAACCTCAAACCAATGTGCCTTCCTGGGATATGGCAGAGGAGAGCTAATAAAAATTAAATCCGCATTCACCACAAGAATCCATGTTTATGCATCCAAATATGTAACATTTTTCAACACCTGCAAGTAGGAATGCTTAAGAGCTGAAGCATGTTACACAAAAGTGCTATGTGAGTTATTATTTCAGTGGAATCTATTTATATTAATTTGAGAAGGTTGCAGGGGAGGGGCTGCAGCACAGAGCCATATGTTTGTCCCACATGTAATCACAGTGCTGTAAGGGAGAGGAAACATGGCACTAGCTGATGAGGAATGTAAATAATAAAGTAATGGCATGTTCACACTGTGCGCCAGTCTGCCTGCAAGACAACAGGAAAGATTAGGTCCTGACCATCTTTCATGTCTTTGCCTTGCTCCCATCATATGCCTTGTGATTCATGTCCTTGCCTTGTGATGCCTGTCTGTAGCTGCATTCTCTGCAGGACCAACTGCAGATAACATTGCCTTGGGGCAGAAAGAAGGGGTGAGAGTTGACAGGTTAGAAGCCGGATTGGGCTTTTTCAGGGGTGGCTGAAGGTCCGTCTTAACTCCTGGCCTCAGAATGATATCAGAGTTGTGTGCAGGGAGGAACATTATTGTGAGGGGGTGGAGTTGTTTGGGCCACAGAAATCCACCTCCTCACAGTTCCAGTGCATCCTCCTCTATGGAGAGAGAGGTGGCTGTTTCAGAAGGCTGGTGACGCTGGGTCATAGGCGCAGGGGAGGCCTGTCCATACAGTCAAACTAGGCAGTCGCCTAGGGCGCCAAGTTAAATGGGGCACCAAATGGTGGAGCAATATCATTGAGGGGTTTGGAGATGGGGGCACCAATTGCATGGTTCGTCTGGGGCACCAGTTGCTGGCAGCTAGTCTAGGGCCACCCCTGCATAGATGATAACAGCCTGAGGCAGAGTTGTAAAATACAGAATAGGAGTAAAGTACTCTGTGGAGATAGACAGGAAGTACACACTGCCCTTCTTGTGTGTGATCTCTGGAGCAAAGGACTCTTTTGCCTTGGCAGCTCCCATGTTGGGGGTGGCCAAGCTGTTACTGAAACTCTCTCTGAATTTAGTATAGTGGCCAGGACACTGGGGAAAGGCAAAGATATCCAGAGTTTGTCTAAAGAGAGACTCAGCCCGTCTGACAATCAGTGGGAATCCCTGACACAATATTACTGCAATCACTGAAGCTTTTTGTTCTGCTTTCCTTTAGTCTTAGATCACAGAATCTGGACTTACTCAGGCACTTTCTGAAAGGCAAGTCACATTCTTATACATTTAGATGGCAGAAAACAGTGCATGTCTCTGACAAGTCTCTCATGGCAGCTCTGGCAGGCTGACAGTTACTTGCAGGCACATGACAAGATTGCATTTTGATTGATTTGAGCTATTTGTGTTGCTGGTTCCAGTTTTCTGCATGAAATTATTCTGATAAACCACAGAATGCAGAAAAAAGAGTGGTCTTACCTTACTGTGTATGAAAGATTATACCATGACAAGTCACTTTTCTTTTTGAATTTGTATATAGATATAGTTTATAGGTATAGGGAATAGTTCTTCCCTGTCATATCATCATATTCTTGTGATACTTCAATGATAGGCTGAGGTGAGCAATGAATTATAGCTGTGTTAGATCTGCATATCAGTTTTCAGAGTTTGTGGATCTGAACACACACACACAAGCAGAATTTACTCACAACCTCAATGTATGGATATACATTTTTCTGCCATTCTGTTCCTAGCACTGGTATTTATCATCAACCCCCTGAAGATCGACCACAGCATCAATCTTCTGCATCATGTAGATGTGACTTAGGTGGGTAAATCTCATTGCCTACATGGAGCTCCATTGAAATCAATGGGCTAGCACAGCTGAAAAGGTTCACCTACAATGGAACCAGTTTGGGAATTGAGGTCTGCTTTACTGCCATCTGCTAACTATGTAATCTTAGGTGAATGAGCTTTTGTGGGCCAGACCCACTTCCTCAGATCAAATTGTGGAAGACAATATATACCAAAGGAATACAATAAAAAAAAAGTGAAAAAAAGTGTAAAAAGGACAAATCACATTTCAGAACAGAGGGGAGATGGGGGGGGGGGGGGGGGGGGAGGGAGGTAAATGTCTGTGAACTAATGATATTAGAGGTAATAATGGGGGAAGCTATCTGGCCCATGAAAGCTCATCACCTAATAAACCATCTTGTTAGTCTTTAAAGTGCTACCTAGTCCTGTTTTTTGTTTCAGCGAGACTAGACTAACACGGCTACATCTTTATTACTATGTAATCTTAGGCACAGTCAGTGCTTTTTTTGTGATGGTCCTGCCCGGTACTCAGCACCTCCAGTCAGAGCTCAACAACTTTTCCCCTGGAGTACTGGCACTTTTTTTTTTTTTTTTTTTTACAAAAAAAGCACTGGGCACAGTAATAGGGAAAGGAAAATATTTTTAAAAATAGAAAATGTGAGTTTAAAAATAAAGCTTGGGAGGGCACTTATGGGCCAGACATGATGCCTGAAATGATTAATAACTTTAAAAATAATGAGCCCAAGATTGTGATGTCACCAGCACTGGATTGAGGCACTGGAAAATACAAACTGTTCGAAATTGTGAACTTGGTTTGCATTTTGTTTGTTTATTTCAAGTCTTCAAATTTTGCTTTTATTCCTAATACTTTCCATGCCAAAACTAGGAGAATCTGCAAGCTTTTATGTGCCACCATGAATCTAACTTTGCTGAAAAACAGGCCAAATGTTTCTTGAAATGTGACCTATTTTTAATACAGTTTCTCTCAGCTCATCTTGAAAAGGGACTTTTTTATTTTATTTTATTTTATTTTATTTTATTTGTTTATTTTTGAGGAGTAGAAGTACAAAAAATGCAGATGTCCGCCCGAACCTGGCTCTTCCGGGTTACAATCTACTTGCCACAGGTGAGTAGATTGTATTATTTGTTGAGCCCTGAGCATAACCAAGGCCACCTCATCTTTTGAGGAATACAGGATCTGTCAAAAAAGGCTTTATTTTTGACAGATCTGCGTCTAGACTGCCGTTTTTTTCCTAAAAAGTTCCGTTTCATAAAAAGTGGTGGCCATGTTTATGCTAATGAAGTGTGGGATATTTAAATCCCTGCTTCATTAGCAATTTTGATGTAACTGTCAACAGAGAGGTGTAGTCTAGACGCAGCCCCTAAGCCACCAGATGCCCATGGAACTCACAATTAGGTTTTGCAATGCTGAGCCTAAGTCCCGTTTCTCCCAGAGTGGCTGAACTGAAGATAGTTCAGTCTAATCAGGAAAAGAGACATTCATAACATAATTGAATTTTTGTATCATTCCAGTGGTTTCTTGACATGTTTTTACTGTGTTATTGAAGGTGTTTCAAAGAAAAGCTTTTAGACACCAGTTATATCTCATTGTCACTGCCATTATTAAGAGCAATGCAAACATGTCATATGCTTTCCAAAATAAAACTCAATCAGAATTTTTGTTTACAAAATATGTCTTTCAAAATACCCTGTTCATTCACTGTAGCCTTTTTGACAATAACTCTTTTATTTTAAACATGGTACATTTTGTAACAGAAAAACCAATATATGGTAACTTCAGAGAACAGCTGTAGGGTATAATTTAATAATAAAAAGGGGAGAACGGTATTTTGGCAATTTTATGCTTAGCTCATGTTTTGCTTTTGCTTTTTAATTGTATTAGGCTGTGAAGTTGCAGGACTTTGCTATATTTGGTGATCCAAAATTAAGCTGTGACAGTCTTCAGAATAAAGAGCTCATTACCATTATAATGCTAGGTGCAAATGCTAGTTCCACCATGTAGCACAAATCACTTATTATTCAAATTCTTGTTTTTATGGTATTGTATACATACAGTGTACTCCGCTGTGCCTAAAAAATAACAAGTTCTGTCCCAAAGAACTCACAGTTTGAGGTAACAGCTGCAACAAGGTGTCTCAGCACATTGAATAACAGCTAAAAAGTACTGAGCACCCTCCATTGCCATTAATTTCAAACAGAGTTGACAGCACTCAGTGGCTAACAAAACTGGGGTCTAAAAAGAGAGAGGGATCGAGAATAATACAACACAGAATCATCATCAAAGCTTTTGCCATAGATCCTGAGTTTCATCACCTGGATTTTTTTTTCCTAATGTACAGGAGAAAACAGCTTTTGAAATGAACTACCTTGTGCAATTCTGTTTCACTTCTGAATACTAAGTCTGTTCATATTTTACCATAAAATCCATAAATGCTGCACTTCCCAAAGCCATGTATTCATTGTTACAAGGTATTTGTCAAATAGCATTAGATTTGTCAAATAGCTTATGATTCATTTTGGTAACAAAATAAACTAGGAAATACTTATTTAGTGAGCGAGTCCGAGCATGTTACCACATTTTGAATTGAAATTGCTTTTTCTTCACATGCCATTAAGTATATTTTTCTCAGATAATGAAACTATATTTTTAAAGTTTCCAATCCAAGCTTCTATGTGGCAAATGCTTTAATTAAGATAGATATATTTCATTTGCTTAGCTTTGACATTTGGATTTTCAATTTTAACTTAAAACTGCATTGCCCTCTAGTGCTGTTATGTGTTCCAGCTCTAGTGATGTCATTACAGCAGCCAACGTAAGCAAAGGCAGCCACTCCATGCTGAGCTGCCTAAATGCTTACAAACGCTTCTTGGAGACGTATGATGCCGGGGCATCCTTCCAACAAAGCCACAAATGCACAAGAGAGAATAGTAAATCTTTCTTTTGTTTCAGAGACCTTATGATCCAAACTGCTATTCTGAGACTTTCTGTAAGAGTTCCATCTCTTTAAATGAACTGATAGGGGAAATTAACCAAGTTGAGCATCCTATTACTTTTTGACAAGCTTCAGAGGATTCTATGCTGTGCAAACTCTGCATGCTGGTGGCTTGTAACCTAGAGTGGAGATGAGTTCTCAAGCTGAAACTGGGTTTTGCCTTGCAGCAAGTTGTTGGGTGGAGAGATAACTTTCAACAGACCTTAACTACTTTTGTGACTGTCCAAGGGATCCAGTTACAGCTTGCTATGGAGGATGATTTTTAAGATGAATACCTACCTTGATGAAAACTACAATTCATCATTATCTGGATATTTGAACTACTCTGTACTGAGTAATGGGAGTCTCACTGCAAACAGCTCAAATCAGTCAGCAAGTGATCTGAATTTACCTGCCTTGGATATCACTAGAGCTATAATTGTGGGGCTTGTCCTAGGTGCCATCATTCTCTTTGCTATAGTAGGTAACATCTTGGTAATTCTCTCTGTAGCTTGCAATAGGCATTTAAGAATCCCTACAAACTACTTCATAGTTAATCTTGCAATAGCAGACTTGTTACTGAGTTTTACTGTCCTTCCGTTTTCTGCTACACTAGAAATTCTTGGCTATTGGGTTTTAGGGAGGATATTTTGTGATATCTGGGCAGCAGTTGATGTGATGTGCTGTACTGCCTCTATCTTAAGCCTGTGTGCAATTTCTATAGATAGATATATAGGTGTGAGTTATTCACTTCAGTATCCAACTTTAGTAACTAGAAGGAAAGCAATTCTTGCTCTCATTAGTGTCTGGGTCCTCTCCATGGTAATTTCCATTGGGCCTCTTCTGGGCTGGAAGGAACCAGCACCCCAGGACGATAAAGAGTGCCGCATCACTGAAGAACCTTTCTATGCCTTGTTTTCTTCTTTGGGGTCCTTTTATATTCCTCTGATTGTCATCCTGGTGATGTATTGTAGAGTCTACATAGTGGCTAAAAGGACAACTAAAAACCTGGAAGCTGGGGTAATGAAAGAAATGTGTAATTCCAAGGAGCTGACCTTAAGGATTCACTCCCGGAACATTCATGAAGACACTTTCAACAGCACCAAAGCCAAAGGGCACCATACCAGGAACTCTGTAGCTTTCAAACTTTTTAAATTCTCTCGAGAAAAGAAGGCAGCCAAGACCTTGGGAATTGTAGTTGGCATGTTTATCTTGTGCTGGCTACCTTTCTTCATAGTTCTGCCTCTAGGTAAGTTGGGAATGAAGGGACGGGGGGTCAATTGTTTATTACTGAAATATCAGATAAAAATTAGCTGAATCTTGTCTAGATGACAGAAAGACGAATGCTTTAGAAATATAGATAGCTAGCTGGATACAACATCATAATTTCCCTCGGGCACTCTTCTTAACTGAAAGTCATGCAAAAACTTTGCCATGTCTGCAGCCTGCAAGAAACCAGCCCAGTTATCAGGTAGACAGGTGGCACATGGATAAAACCTTTACATATCTTTTCTTAATACTTTACATTAAGTGTTTTATTTGTAAGTGTTTTATTTAAAAATGTTTCATGGACACTTTTGTAGCATGCTGAATAGCAGCAATTACATTTTCAAGAGATGCAGGCAGCCCATTCAGATGTTATGCAAAGCTTCTTAGCATGTTATACTGTCCGCTGTTAATAATACAGACAAGTTTATAACATTTTTAGAAAAGGCTTGATCCAAAGCTCCAAACACCTCTGAAGATGGAGTATTCAAAATCTAGATTTGTGTCCATGAGCTGTGAGTTGACTGCATGTCTGCTTTTGAGGTCTGATCCAAAGCCAAGGGAAAGTTTCCCTTGGATCTTTTAGATTGGACCTTGAAGAGGCTTCAGCTGGAACTTTCAGCAATCAATTCTTTCATTTTAAAATGCCCTAAAACTATGTAAATTTAACTAGAGCTGTTAGCAAAGCATCCTACATAATCTTACACAGGGCTGCATTCCTGAAATCCTTTTGATAGTCTCTCTTTTAGTCCTTCATATTACTTACCACTTTGAAACAGCATCACAGTAAAACATCTCACTACCTCTTAGCACAGTGATAGAAATGTAGCCGTGTTAGTCTGGTGTAGCTGAAACAAAATACAGGACTATGTAGCACTTTAAAGACTAACAAGATGGTTTATTAGATGATGAGCTTTCGTGGAAAAAATGAACACATATGAAAAGGACAAATCACATTACAGAACAGAAGAGGGATGCGGGGGGGAGGGGGGGTGAAAGGAAGGTGAATGCCAGTGAGTTAATGATATTAGAGGTGGGGAAGGGTAGATGTCTGTGAGTTAATAGTATTAGAGGTGATAATTGGGGAAGCTATCTTAGTAATGGGTAAGATAGCTGGAGTCTTTGTTAAGTCCCCTGCGGAGAGTGTCGAATTTTAGCATGAATGCCAGTTCAGAGGATTCCCTTTCAAGTACAGATTTGAATGTCTTCTGAAGTAGGATGCAGGTTAGCAGGTCATTGAGACAGTGCCCTTTCTGGTTGAAATGACAAGCAACTGTTTTTTCTTTGTGATCCTGTCTAATGTCTGTTTTGTGGGCATTGATTCTTAGCACAGAATTCTTAAAACTTCTTTTCTAAAATCTGCCCAAAATCAGCTTTAACACAAAACAAATGATCCAACCAGCTAACTATGGAAAGAGGTAGAAAATAGCTTTCTCAAGATTCTGTGTCTTATATGTACTCAGTCAATATAAAGCAAAATATTTCTAGTTCAGGGATTGTGATAATCTAAATAATTTGTTAATATATTTCACCTCTGTTTCCCTGACTCCTGCTAAACAAATTGTCTCTCACTGGCCCCAAAGACCTAGAGGTGCTTGTTAAAAATTTTAAGTTTATAATTTTTACTAGATCAAATTATGTATGTGTAATTTTTATGCTAGATTATCAGATGGTGAAAATTGGGATAACTTGGCTCATGTAAAAACCTTCAAAAACATAGATGTGACAAGCCTAAAAAGGCAGGGAAATTCTGAGTTAAGGTTTCCTGAATTCTACACCCCTTGTGTCAAACATTGTCCTCTGTCCTAGAAAGTTCCACATCACTGGGAAAATACATATTTCATGCATATGTAAATGTGTTGTGCAAAGCATATTTACAAAGTACAACAGTCTAAATAAGTCATGCAGTAAAATCCAGTGATTCAGTCCCTTCTGATAAAAGGAATTAGCTCAGTTCCTTTCTGCGTAAGTTCCTGTAAGAACCTTACAAAAAAAATCACTGCTATATCCTGGCCTACTTAAATGTAAAGGGCCAGATCCTCATTTGGCATAAATCAGTGTTTGCCTTGAGAAAGGTGAAAAGCTGCTGCAGGCTCCCAACTCACACATGGAATGGCTGATGAATTATGGCGTAAGAAATTTGAGTGAGGAATTTAAAACATCAATTCACCTATTGTCTCCGTGAGTTCAGGATGTTGCAAGTGGAGTGACTGATCAAAAACTCACAGAGGATTGTGGTTTGTTTGGAGACAAGAGGCTCTGTCTAGACTGCAAAGCTTTTCTGGGATTCTGGAGGTATCCCGGAAAAACTCTGCCACGTCCAAGGACGTGCTTTTTCAGAACAATTTCCAAAAGAGTGGACATGTTCTTTCGGCATCCCTGTATTCCTCTCCGTGAGAGGAATAAGGGATGTTCTGAAAGAGGATTTTTTTCTGAAATTTGGCCCCGTGTAGACTGGCCAAATTTTGACAAAGAGTCTTTTGGGAAAAAAGCAAAAAAAGATACACAAATTGCAGTTTGTAATTTGCAGATCTTTTCCCAACTTTTCTCTGCAGTGCAGACATAGCCAACGATTCAGAGTTGGAAAGAGGCTGAGGAGAAGCTGTCTGGCTGAAAACTGTTTTTCTGGGACCTGGGCTCATCCTGGGAGGTGCTAAGCTTCCACAACTCCTGGGCTGCATCTAGACTGGCATGATTTTGTGCAAAAGCAGTCGCTTTTGTGCAAAATCTTGCCACCTGTCTACACTGTCCGCAAATATTTGCGCAAGAACACTGACTTTGTAATGCACGAAATCAGTGGTTCTTGCACAAATACTCTGATGCTTCCGCTCAGGGATAAGCCTCCTTGCACAAGTATTCTTGCGCCAGAGGGCCAGTGTAGACAGCAACGTTAATTTCTTGCGCAAGAAAGCCCAATGGCTAAAATGGCCATCAGAGCTGTCTTGAGCAAGAGAGCGTCTACACTGGCACGGATGCTTTTGTGCAAAGGCACATGCCAGTATAGACGCTCTCTTGCGCAAATACTTTTAACGGAAAAACTTTTCCGTTAAAAGGATTTGCGCAAAATCATGCCGGTCTAGACGCAGCCCCATTGAACAAAATGAGAAGTTGAGAGAATTTGGCACCTCACAGGATTGGACCTTTTATTGGGATACTGAAGTGCTACTACTTTGGTCGGTTATAAGATGCTTTTTGTTAACGGTGTCCATTCCTGTCAGAGGGTGTACATATTCATCAGTACGCTAATGTTCTGTAATTTTAATATAGCAATACAGTCTTCTGTGATTGCAGTCTCATATCTCTGACAACCCATTCTAGGAGCCCAAAACCTTGTTCAATGCTCTGATCCCCAAGCCTATGTAACTGCTATGTACTTTTCTTCTATTTCTTTTTCAATTATTGTTACCACCAGAAACAGAAGCTATATCACATCCTAATTCACCTGATCTTCTTCCTTAATTCATTCAGGCTATGTCTAGAGTGCAGGCTTCTTTAGGAAAAGGTTTTCCGGAACAGATCTTCCAAAAAAGTCTTCTGAAAGAGAGTGTCCACACAGCCAAAGCACATCGAAAAAGCGATCTGCTTTTTCGAAAGATAGCATCCGCACTGAATGGACACAATCTTGCATTTCAGCTGTAACTACTATGGACAGAGTGGCCACCAGGGCATCTGTGCTTTTTCCTCTTTTCTCTTCTCTCAAAAGAACTCCCTCTTCCCTGTCCACACATTTTTCCTCGAAGAAAGAGGATTACCAAAGCTAGAAAAACCCCTCTGTTCTTTTGATTATTTTTTTTTAAAGAACGTGATTGCAGTGTGGACATAAGTGAACTTTTTTCTAAAAAACTCTGCAGCGTAGACATACCCTCGGAGATATCACAGTTCTATTTGTTTGACAATACATATTTGTTTCACATTGATGGATAGTTATTTATATTGAGGGTCACTGAATGAATGAGGTACAAAAAGAAAGGAGAAAGCTTTTCTTAGTACATGACTAATGTTCGAGGGGGCAAAAAGAGAAAAAACACTTAATATGGTTTTGAAAAGTTTGTTTGCAATATTGTTTTAAATCAGAGTTTCTCCTTGCTTTGATTACTTGAATCCAAGACTTTAATTTTATACTAATATATTTTTGTTGTTTTGCACCTAATTTCTTTTGCAGTTTTTTAAACGTTAGTTTACTGCACTGATACCATTTCATTTTGCCATTGTACTCTCCACGGAACTGAACATTTTTCAGAAGACCTTCCATAGGTGGTCAAGTTGCACTTTGAAGTCTCTAGATATCAAATGTGTCCTAAGCCACCCAAGTCTTTCGTGATGGCACTTTCTAGTGGAAGTTATATTTTATTTATTGTTAGACACTCGGACTGGAGGGGAGACAATATTTAGAGGTTTCTCAGTGCAACTTCCCTCAGCTTTAATAAAAACACATAGTTAACAGCACCTCGGCAGTGCTTTGAAAATGCATAAAAGTTGAAGGTGGACAGGCCTGTTATGTAGGTCACATCCCTATCAAGACAACATTGTTATCTACAGTACGTTTTCTACTACTGGGTCCAATCTCATTTTTTAAGCACCTTCTTCTACTTCCCTGAAAATTTCTCTTTAATTTCTACATTTTCCCCATTCATAAGTGAGTCCATCCCATTATTTCTAGTCGTATCTACCTGAACGCTCCTTTGCACTCATCCCGCTTTCCCCCTCACAGTTCATTCGGTGATAACATGACTACATTATACATATGGATATAAAATACAGCAATTCTGGATTTGCAGTCATGTGAAACGGATCAGAATCTGACCCAATGCATCTTGAAACACTTTATAATTGTAAGATTATGCTGGAATCCTGGGACACTGAAAAATATTGCCTTGACAAATGATTCTACTTGTACATAAATAAGTGCTTCTCAAAATTTCCCCAGCTCCTGCTCCTTGTTCCCCAGTTGAAGTTCTAATCCTTTGTTTGTGACATAGCAAT